ACGTTCCCTAGAAACAAATCTTTCTCACCCCGCTCCCCAGGAATCTTAAGCCATAGGCTCTCCTCGAACTCCGTTTGAACCACTACTTCCACCACGTCAAACAAGTGTTCCTTGACCAGGAATCCGACTCCCCCCTCCCCCCTTTTCTTCGGGTCTAANTTGCTTGCGACTTTCTTCGACGACGGTGGGACGTATACGTTCCCTAGAAACAAATCTTTCTCACCCCGCTCCCCAGGAATCTTAAGCCATAGGCTCTCCTCGAACTCCGTTTGAACCACTACTTCCACCACGTCAAACAAGTGTTCCTTGACCAGGAATCCGAACTCCCCCCTCCCCCCTTTTCTTCGGGTCTAAGCCCTTTCTTGCCTTCCCTACCCACCGCGAGAGGGGAGTGGGGAGAAAATGAAGGTCAGGCATTTGAGAGGGGTACGCCTGATGATCTTCCACCACTAGAGAAGTACGCTTGACATGTTGGCCTAAAGTCGGGGTTCAAGCGTTGGGGGTTCAATTAACCACACTAGGCAAGGTACGGACAGCATGAGTGCCACGGGTAGAAGCGACAACGACTCATCCACTCGCACAGCAAAGAACACCACCACTAACCTCCTTTGCGTGAGTGCTGCATCGCTCGTGGGCCATCGCCGCCGGTATGAAGCTGAAATAACCACGGATCTCCTCTTTGATGGCCTCAGCCGGCGACTTGTGCCTCGATTCGCGGGGAGTGTTTCCCCCCTCACTTCGCCTGGAACGCACGCGGAGTGCCAACCCGTAGACAAAGACAGTGATGGGACGCAACATGTCAACCGAACGCCTCACAAATGAGCCGTGACGCCACAAGTCCATTTGCACCTATTGCTGTGCTTGTCGTTATCGTTTGGATCGTGGCAAGAGAGCCGAGGTAGTGGCCTGGGCGATTCAAGACAGTGATGGCAACGCAGTAAAAACGCAGTCCAGCGACGTCGCCGGCCCGGCGAAAACTCTTTCTACGGGCAGCAATACTGTGGGACACGCATTTCAAGTCCAACGCTACAAGGGGTCTTCGGTTCCGCCAGATGCCACGTCCTCGCACCCGCCAGTATCCTCTACATAGAAGGGCGCACCGCCGTCACTTGCCATGGGCTGTCCCTGACACACGGGGCCGTAAGTACACGCCATCCCACCTTTCGGCATTGATCTTGCCATCGTTAACCTTGCCCACGATGGCACGGTCAAGGTCGAACAAGTCTCCCGTCCTGCTCACCAGCTTCTTGAAGGCGCAGTTCATGGATTCCACCCGCTGCGTNCACGTCCTCGCACCCGCCAGTATCCTCTACATAGAAGGGCGCACCGCCGTCACTTGCCATGGGCTGTCCCTGACACACGGGGCCGTAAGTACACGCCATCCCACCTTTCGGCATTGATCTTGCCATCGTTAACCTTGCCCACGATGGCACGGTCAAGGTCGAACAAGTCTCCCGTCCTGCTCACCAGCTTCTTGAAGGCGCAGTTCATGGATTCCACCCGCTGCGTGGAGGCAATGCCGAGGGTGTGAAGCCCAGGGTGGACAAATGCCGCCCACCTGCCAGCCCGCCTGTTACACGTTACGGCATGGCGCAAGGTTAGGAGACACACAAGGACGAAAACGTCGCTGCCTTACGATGCGTCCAAAGCAGGAAATATTGTACACGCAGAACNTTGCTTTACCTGGGCTGAAGATGTCTCGTGCCATGTACTTATACATTCTGCTCTCAGGGTCCAACATCGCGAGGAGCTCCGTTTTTGCCTCGACGAAAGCCTGCCAGAGCGAGATTTCGCGGAGCGTGCGAGGGAGTGTACGAAGTGAGGTGGGAGAAAGAAAGCACACATGAAAAACAACGGTGTCCCCACGTACAGTAGGAACGTTTGCACTCCACTGTCTCCGAGGCGTTCTTCAACAGGACGGGGTTGCCGACAATCTGGCGGATTTCACGCAGGTGGGGTAAACACTGTACGTGCTAAACAAGATTTCTCTCACCCCGACCGTTGGCGCGTATGCCGCTGCCTTGAACTTTCGCAGCACTCCCTGGATGACAGCCTGCGGAAGTCCCTTCCCATGCTCCTTCACGTTCTGCTCCGTGTGCCAGTAGCACAGCTTGTTTAGCGCCCCCGGAAAGACCTGCGCGATGGCCGACATCTCTGACTGATCTGTGTCCGTGAAGATCACCTACTTCGCCACGGAAGTAACCACGCGCGGGCAGGGGACACAAGACATTCAGGGGAATGCATGACGTATGGCTGTTTCAAGATGTAGTTTAGTGTTGATCGAATGGGGGTATTTTGCGCTATTTGTCGGGGGCACGTGGCCATCCTCGTCTCACCCTCGCTACCGCTCCACAGCGTCACACCGTCGTTCCACCTGTGGGCTGCTTCCGCGGATGAGCTTCTTGAAGGACTCCATCAAGAACACGAAGGATTCGTGCTTCTCGGTTTCCAACAGCGCCTGCATCGCAATTTGCGTGAGGTTTTCCTTGTCTACCACCACTATGAATGCCACCTTGTGGTTATACCTGGTGGGGGCGGGGGCAGACGTAAGACAGCGGCACAAAGCACCAACGTCGGGCATGGCGCGCCGTGGTGGTGGTGGTGGGGGGGCATGACGTCGCACAGCGGCACAAATCACAAACGTCGGGCATGGCGCGCCGGTGACAGCGCTGTCCACGCACGGCACTGTTCGGACCAGGTCGGGTGCTAAAGGGAGCATAAAACAAAGCATGCCCGACACACTATAGCAGCACTTACTTGCTGGTGTTGAATGTGGTGTCTGATACGATGATGGGAAAGTATTTCTCCGCGTTGCGCCGCTGCTCCTCGTGTGCCCAAGCAATGTCCGTCAGGCGGTTCTCCTCGTCGAGCTTGAAGTTCTTGAAAGCGCCGTCCTCCTCGAGCTGGTAAAGCAACTGCTGGGCGTCGTTCAAACCACCGCGGCTGTTCTGCTTGTCCTTGTCGAACGGCGCCCTCATGAGACGCAGCTACCGCCCAACACGCACGATCACAGGGGATGTGGTTGGCTTCACGACATTTCCAAAGTCAATCGAAGGTAGGCATTTCGGACGCCAACATGCTCAAACGACGTTAACATTATGGCCACGACGCTACGTGTGGGACGCGTTGAAAGCCATTGCCGCCGGAGTGTATACCGTGATACTCCTCGGACTTAATGTACTACCCCGCCCTACCCTTCTGTCTGTCGCGTCAAGAGCTAAACCCCTCCCTAGCTCACCATCTGTTTTCCTGCCTCCCAGCCTCTTTCCCGTTTCTTGCAGGTATTCGTAGATCTCCGCCGTTTTGACGCCTTTCTCGTGCATCTTCTTCATGTTGGCGGATTCTGCTTCGAGATCCTCCCTGGTCATCTCGTTCTCGATAACGCGCGGGGGGTCGTGCTCGATTCCTTCCGAACCCTGGTACGTGTGCCGCAGGCAAACGTCCTGCTTCGTCGGGGAACACGGACGGGGGCACGCCGCGAGTGTTTGCGGGCAAGCGCAGGAGGTCGCAAGAGGCATAACACTTTGTCACACGGAACGACGCACGCTCCTCTACCTGCCGTCCTACGCGCTGAGGAGGCTTGCCTTGCGACTGGTTCTGGTTCACGCCAAAAAACACAACACAACTTCCACGCGAAAGTACTGAATTGCCATGAGTCAAACCCTTTTGCACTTAACCCTAACACACCTTGCCAAGGCTCGGCGCATCGCTGTTGGCGCCCCAGTACAGGGAAAGCCCCCACTTGCATCCGAACTACCATCGTGGATTGAGGAAACAGCGCGCACAAGAGGAAGCAAGGCATCATTAGTCACAAACGCCTGTCTGTGCCGGTGGTGAGGCGTTTTCCGTTCAAATCATTGCGGAAGGACTTGAAGCAAACACTACAAAACGCACCGCTCGACGACCCCCGCACGCACCAACTGTCGATACGTGCAAAGCAACGCGCGCATCTTGTCGCGATCCTAACAAGCACTGCAGCGCAGACAAGGCGCAGGAGGTGTGGTCGATGGAGCGCGCGGTTGGAACGAAGCAATGCAAGACAGATGCGGCAAAACCCGCAGCAAAACACTGGAACTCCCTGGCTATAAGGTCTGCATACGTGTGGATTGGCAGAGAGTGCGGCCCACATGCAAAAACAGCACACAAAAAACACCGCCGACCTAGGCTGATTCGCACAACAACCATTTCGCAAAGGGTGGAAAATCGTGGATGATTCCCCGACTTCTATACGCACACTCCATGCCGTATGCAGCTTGCAACCTTGACTACCTGTCCCAGCATGTACACCAAACGAAGGACAACAGCACTTTTACCCGCGAACCTCATGTCGATTCAGTCCACCTCGCGCAACCATGAGGAAATGTGCACGCGGTCATGGCTGCGTCGGGCAGAAAATCAGAAAACAAGTACCTTCTTGGTGGATGTCTTCTTGCGAGCGTGGACATCCGCGGTTTTCGCGGTCTCTCTCGGTTGCCCCGAATGGATACACTTGATCTGCACGCAGTTGTACCTGTTGCGCCTCCCAGACGTCGACTCGGAGGCCTTCGTGAAGAGCTGGGCGGTGGCAAACACTTTCGGTGGTGAATATTTGTATGTATGTGGAACAACGGGTTCACATATCGCTTGTTTATTGTATCGTCGAGTGTACCTAGCGGCTTTGTGACCACGGCCTCCCATGGATGTTTGGAATAGAGCCCGAATCGAGAGCTAATGTGGCGAAAAAGCAAACAAATACTTCGTAAACAACATCGCCATCGCTGGGCTTTCAGTCGGCCAGCCTAACAAACCGAGCCTATAGCCAGGTGCATCGTGCATCAAGAGTGCCGTTTTCGGTGGAACGCACATTCCCGTACACCAACGCAGAGCTGCATGCCAGGGAAGGGGAGGGAGTCACGACGGGGAAGGGTACACTGTCATCCTTTCGCAAAAAGCTGTTCCAATACTCACCTTCGATTTTTTGTTCATCTGCAGAGCGTATCCGCATCCGACGGNATTCCCGTACACCAACGCAGAGCTGCATGCCAGGGAAGGGGAGGGAGTCACGACGGGGAAGGGTACACTGTCATCCTTTCGCAAAAAGCTGTTCCAATACTCACCTTCGATTTTTTGTTCATCTGCAGAGCGTATCCGCATCCGACGGCCTCCTCGACCATCTCAAACCCTTTCCGCCATGTTTTGTCCCCGTACTCTCCTGACCCGTCTTCGAGGTTGGGAAACACCAGGCCGTTGAGTCTTTCGTGAAGCTTCAAGATCTCCTCTGAGCAAACGCCACACATAAAAAGGGCCGAGGGAAACGAAGTTCAACGTTGTTAGCCGTCCGCCGTCAAACTAGGGACAAACCTCATGCCAACATGGCCGAGACGATGCAGCGATGCGTAGGAATGAAATCATGATACGTACGCCATACTTGCACACCTGCAGACCTGGCGCACACGGGGGGGGCTGAACCAGCTGGAGGCGATAAGTTGTGTCGACATTCGCCAGCTCCAGGTCGTTACGAGCTGATTTTCCGCTCGGCGTGGTGTCGCGCCTAACTCCATATTCGCTACCAACGTCCAACAAGGTTTCCTCCTCCTCCGCGCAAACGTCATGTGTCCCGCTGGAGGTCTCCGTGGAAAGCACCTCCTGCAGCGACGCGCCGAGGTCTCCAGCGAATCCAGCAACGTCGTCAATACTAACGCCGTCAAAACTTCCGTCGTGAAGAGCACTGGTAGACACAGCAGAAGTCTCCGCACCAGAAGCAGCCGCCTCCATGCTACTTGAGTCCTGGACAGGTTCGTGTCAGCCGTCAGAGCCGTCGCCGGTGCGTGCGGTGGGCGTGGTGTGTTGTGTGCGCGGTGGTGTGTTCGTGTTGTGCGGGCCGTGGGGAATTCAAAATGGGTTCTGTAAGGATGGTTCTGGAGGCGTTTATATCNTAGACACAGCAGAAGTCTCCGCACCAGAAGCAGCCGCCTCCATGCTACTTGAGTCCTGGACAGGTTCGTGTCAGCCGTCAGAGCCGTCGCCGGTGCGTGCGGTGGGCGTGGTGTGTTGTGTGCGCGGTGGTGTATTCGTGTTGTGCGGGCCGTGGGGAATTCAAAATGGGTTCTGTAAGGATGGTTCTGGAGGCGTTTATATCTTGTGCACGGAAACTCGCACAAGTATTGGCCTATTAACGCGCCCTGCCCTGTTGGATACTTGCTCCCGTTCGCGTAGCCCCCACGGCTGCAGCGGCGCAGCGGCCGCACCTCCCCGCCGGCCGGGGCCCGGTACTACTACTGTTGTGCATCCTACGTACGCATCAAGAAGCCGACTGTGCATCGATCATATGGATTTAGCGTACACAATTGGACTTGGATGAACACACAGCACACGACGACAACATGAGCAATGAAGGACCAGTTGACCAGCAACAACAACAGCAGGAGGATTCTTGGGACCCGGTCATCAAGAATGTCATGACATCTACGTTCGGAACGCTGGGTATTCGTGCCCTGCCGGACCTGTAAGTTCACTCGTCGCGTTGTCGTGTGTGTGTTTGTTGGTGCCGTCGACGTGCAAACGATAGGCAGCGAAAGCAGCGGCACACACTGACTGTGCTTTCCACTAGAAGCGAATGATATGTGTGCTGTTTTAGTTTCAATAGAAAGCTGCTTTCGGAGCGAAACAGCTCTGTAAGTAGGACCGTTGTTGAAGGTTGCCCTCGTGTCTTTTTTTCTCCGTGAGCGGTGCGGCGGAGCGCTTACGCCGCGCCTGTCACTCCTGTCAAACGGCACAGCACATTGTACGCTACGCATACAAGGGTACGTTCAACATAAGGAAAAATAAATACAATCACAGAAAGACTGCTTGTTCGAGATATATCCACAGTCGAACGGGATGCGATGGATACGACAGATTGCCGGCAGAGTACGCATGTTCTCCAGTAGGTACATAAAGTAAGTTCGACGAGGTACCTGGCTTTCACGCCACCCCCCACCCCCCCCTGCCCGCCCTGTCCCGGAACCACTCCCAACAGAGACTGGCCAGACATCCTGCGGTTCCACGCCAGAACGGTCGCGACTCAGCTGCTGAGAGGCGGCGACATCAACGACCTCCTCGCGGACGACACGAACGCCTTCATCAGCGTCGACAACGCGCAGTTCGTCTTCCACCCGTTTCACGCGGTCGCGGCCTACGGCCACGGCCTGCCGACGAGCCTCTTGTCCGCGCTCGTCTCTCCCGCTGCTTCTGCTGCGGAATCGTCTCGGGAGTTCGCTGATCGAGCGGCGGCTGCTCTTGCCGCTGAATCGTCTCGCGCAACGGACGACCACCCCGCAGCAGACGCGCTGGCACCAAGGGAGTCTAGAGCCCCAGCAACGGCGGAAGCGGTGTCCGACGGCACGACGACGACGACGACGACGACGACGACGAACGCGGGCTTCCACTGCGACGCCCGAGACGAGCGCTTGAGGACCGCCCTCCACTGGGGGAGCACCACGGGGCAGGCGGACTGGATCTCCGCCCTCATCCGCGCGGGCGCCGACCCGGACGCGACCGACGTCGACGGGCGCCCGCCCCTCCAGTACGCCGTCGAGGCCGCGCAGGCCTCGGCTGTCCAAAGACTGCTGGAGGGAGGGGCCGACAAGAACTTCCGGCTCAGCGACGGCGCGGGCTACGGCGGCGACGGCGGCACCCCGCTCATCCTCGCGGCCAGGGAGGGGAACGCCGAGATCGCGAGGCTGCTCTGCGACGCAGGGGCGTCCCTGGAGGACAGGGACGGGATCGGCTTCACCGCGCTCATGACGGCGGTGGCGCACCGGCATCTGGGGGTCACGGAGGCGTTGCTGGCGTTCGGGGCTGATGCCAATACGGAGGTAGATAACGTAACTTGATTTAATTGCTGAGTTGGGGTGGTGCCTGTTATTTTTCGTTGCGGGTGCGCTCTCGATGTTCGCGTTGTATCTTGTTGATCGCGCCGTCTGTCTTTATCTAATCTATCTGAAGGCGTAGCAAGAGACGTTCGGTGGTCAAATAGGTTTGTGATATTATTTCCTTCAACCCCCCCCCCCTTCTCCAGCCCGAATT